CCCTCAACCCGGACGGCTCCCTCACCCGCTTCGTCAAGCTCCCGACCTCCGCCGCCACCGACGAGAGCCCACACGCCGCCGCCGCCCACTCTGCCCTCAGCCGAGACGCCCAACTCGACCCGACCCGCAAGACATGGGTTCGGGTCTACCGCCCCACCCGACTCCCCTCAAACGACACATCCGTGGCTCGACTCCCAATCGTGGTCTACTTCCACCCGGGCGGGTGGATCCACATGAGCATCGCCAACACCATGATCCACGAGGAGAACAACCGTATGTCGGCCGAGATACCCGCCATTGTGGTCGCTGTCGAGTTTCGACTCGCCCCGGAGAGCCGCCTCCCGGCGCAGTACGAGGACGCCGTGGAAGCCATCACCTGGATCAAGGACCAATCGGTCGCTGGCCAAGAGGGCGGCGCCGGTCAGTGGATCAGGGATTACGGCGACTTTTCCAGGTTCGGACACGACACCGATGAAATTTTATCAGTACAGTACAATCAGTGTTTTAAAAAGCGTTTTGTCAGTAGCGTGAAATGACGTAGAAAATTTTTGAAATCGCGTCTGTTATTTAAAATTTCGGGTTTTATTGGAATACTTATGTTAAATGCTGACGTGACACACTATTTTATGCCTTTTTACCCTTTTTGCACTATTTTCACGTTATTATATCAAAATATCAAATTTAATTAGCAAGAAAATTGTTATTTTAAAAAAAATGTCATTTTATAATCTCAAAAGATGAAAATTATCTAAGAAATTTATCGTTTCCTATTGTCATAGAACCATGTTCGTGAAAAATATTAAAAGAAAAAAATTGAAATTGATTTCAAACTAAAGGCGTTTTTAATTTAAATTATTGGTTATACTTTAATATATATATCTTATATTAAATTGTTCATATCTTTTGTCTTTGTACATAATAATACCTTAAATGTTATTATTGTTCGAATTCAATTTTAATATTAAAACACTTTTATCTGACTTAAATAAATGTTTATTTACTAACATNNAACTATTTTCGATTCTTTTTTTGTAGGTGCTACCTTTACGGTGTGAGCTGCGGCGGGAACATCGCCTTCAACGCGGCCCTCCGAATCCAAGAGCTCGACCTTAAGCCATTAACTATCTCTGGCGTAATCCTGAACCAGCCGCTTTTCGGGTCCAAGCAACGGACTAAAAGCGAGCTGAAATCAGCCACTGACTCATACTTCCCGCTGCCCGTGCAAGACCTTCTATGGGAGCTGGCGCTGCCCGTCGGGACTGACCGCGACCACCGCTTCAGCAACCCGTTTTCAGACAAACCGACTCGAGATAAGGTGAAGCGGTTCGGAAGGTTCCTAGTCATCGGGTTCGGTGGGGACCCGTTGGTCGACCGCCAGCAAGCATTTGTTCAGATGCTCGTGGAGGAAGGAGTGCCGGTCGAGGCGCGGTTCGATGATGTCGGGTTTCACGGGATAGATATGATTGACGGCCGCCGAGCTTCGGCCATACTTGGTTTTATAAAGGAGTTTGTTTGAGTTTGATTTGGTTTTTTGTTATTAATATTTTAGAATTACTAGTATTATTGTTGCTCGATCGTGCAAAATGCATGCATGAGTTTATTTAGAATAAAAGATTTTTTTATCATCAATTAATTAGGTTATCAAATGTTGGTTTAGTTGTCAAGTCGGAGTTGAAGGATAGATTATTATACTCATATTTGAGGAAAGATTGGAAATCATCATCAATTTAAGACTTATTTTGTGTTTTAGCGGTCCATGGCTCGAAAGAATGGTCAACTATCGATTCAAAAATTTAAAAGATAAAATCTAGCTTTTATAAAACTAATGTAGTGTTATTATTTGGAGTTATGCAAGGTTGGTTATATGGTTGATTTGTATTTGTTTGATCTGCTTATCGTGTGTTGATCAAGTGTTTTCCGAAGTATAGTGATGAATGTTATTGATTATTGATATATGAAATGTTATATGGTATGAGGTACATGTGAAATGTTACTATATGATATGCGCTTTGGGAAATAGTGCGATGTTATTTTGCGTCGTGGTATTTTTTTTTTTTTAANTTCATTTTTTTTAAGGATGGGTCTCGAAATCGAATTAGACCCAGCCTAGCTTGATGGGCCATGTACCCAACCCATAACTAGATACAGCCTGATTGAGGGTCAGTGTTTTTTAATCCTGCAACCCACCGGGCCGAAGTTTGGCCATGTTTAAATTAAGTATATGGTGTTGGTAAATCTAGCTAGGTAAAAGTTTATTTGATACTTATGACAAAAAATAGATAATATAATAAAAATATTATGTAAAATTAGTTGATAAATCAACTTGAATAAAAAATTGTAATGAATTTTATTATAACAAATGCTACATTGTCAATCTAACTAGTGCGTGGCCCGTGCGATGCACAAGAATAATATTACGATTATATTATAAATTAAATATATAATATTATTAATTATAAATTAAATATATAATATCATTAATTATAATTTATCCATTATTTTTAAATTAAACCAGGTTGGACTCAGTCCGACCAAATGGACCGAGAACCGGGTTATAAACAGTGTACTTCGTTTGAATAAAATATTTACTATTGAATCCGTCAACATCAGTCGGTTGGACTGGTAGGATCGTTACGTTTTTCTAAATAAATTTTGTTACATTTAAAATTATTTTAAATAAAATTACATATTCAAATAAAATAGAGATTTATAAATTGTTTATCAATTAGTTTTAACATTTGAATTTATAAATTGTTTAGATATTTAAGTAACACATTTTATTAAAATTTATTACAAAAAGTACTCTATATATATATATTAAAATGTATATATATTGATATTAAAATATTTATAAATTAAAATCTGAACAAAACTACAAATGATTTAATAGAATAACTTGATTGTTTCGATGATGGTTCGATTCTGAAAACCATATTCACTGTACATTAGTAAAAATTATAGTAAAATATTATTTTATTCACATAAATATTAATAAAATGATATATAAATATTCATTAATAATTAAACATGTTGTCATATAAACATATTGTTAATATGATTATTTGAAGTTTGGGGAATATTAAAAATTGAAATGATTTAATAAATAATTATTGTTGTCATATTCACATGGTAATTCTTAATAAAACTTGAAATGTATTAACAGGATTTGAAAAATGGTTAACATGATGTTACATGTTGAAAAATTTATGAATAAAGCCTCATAAATTGAAAAAACTTGTTAACATGTTGTCAATTTTTAATGAACAATGCCTGTTACCATTTCAATTTTAAGTGAAAATCACGTATCTATATAACAAAACATGTTAATACTCTTTTAATATATTGTTAATATGATTATTAGGAAAAAAAAAGTTACTAAGAATGGTAAGTAATTAATGTTGACTGAAATTTGACTTTCTATTTTTAAAAAATGGTAATTCTTATTATATATATATAGATGTACAAGGCTGTCACAACAAGTTGAAACTTTAAACATCCAAAGAAAAAAAAAAAGTGCATGTTTCAACTTGTGTTGTCAACCTATTTTTACACTAGGTTGACAAAGTTTTTATGAAGCTCATCCAACAAATTTTGACACAAATAACTTATAAAAAGTTCTATCAAACTAGATTTACTGGAATATAAAAAAATTATAATTTACCTAAAAAAAAGCTATAAGTAAATTTGAGGTGTTTACCAAATACACTCCTATTAAAAAAATTTAACCTCTCAATCGGAGATTCATAATTTGATTGGAATTGGCTACGTGTGGCGCACATAATTTATTTTTTGGTCATTTTAATCTGATGTGGCATTTGATTTTCACATGGTCATTAGAGTATTTCCAGTGGAACAATGTTTATTTTATATTGCATGTAATGAAAAATAAAAATTAAAAAATTATGTCTTTAATAGTTAATGTTAATCGTGGTATTATTTGTAACGTGTAAAATTGTAATTGGTTAGAGAAGAGAGATAAATTAGATAAATAATATAATATATGATAAAAGTTTTTTATAACAATTTCTACATCTAGAAAATTATGTACACATATTTTTATGAATATTTATGTCATTTGACAATAAAATAGAATAATAGAAAGACAATGGAGGATGCTATTTTATTTGACAGTTGCCTTG